TAGGCCATCAGGGGAGTGGTTAGGGGGTGATCAGGCTGGCAGGCAGAAGTGGGCAAACTGCAGCCCGCAGGCTGGATCCGGCCCGTTTGAAATGAATAAAACTAAAAAAAAAAAAACAGACCGTACCCTTTTATGTAATGATGTTTACTTTGAATGTATATTAGTTCACACAAACACTCCATCCATGCTTTTGTTCCGGCCCTCCGGTCCAGTTTAAGAACCCATTGTGGCCCTCGAGTCAGAAAGTTTGCCCACTCCTGGGCTAGGGCCATAGCAATCATTAAACGCTTCCCAAAGTGAGGCTGGGAAGCGGAAGAGCAGGCCTGGGCATTGGGTCAGGGTGATAAAGGGGAGGGGGCAGCGGAAGGGGGCGGGCCTAGCAGAGAATCAATGTTCAGGAGCTAAAGTGTAGGGTCCAGTTCGGGGGCTGGTTCCTCCAGCAGCAATAGAAGAGCCAGAGAGCAAACATTGGTCAGGGATGGGGACCAGAGGTGGGGCCAATGTAGAGAGAGGGTGGGGAAGGCTGGGATGGCAGCCAAGCAGTCTGGAAAAGCAGCTGAGCCAAGGGATACCAGGCCAGCTCCCAGGCTGCCCCCTTCTGCCCCACCCCCAGGCATCAGGTTTCCTTTCTTTTTAAATATATTTTCATTGACATCAGAGAGAAGAGGAGAGGGAGGTAGAAACATCAATCGGCTGTCTCCTGCATGCCCTGTACTGGGGATAGAGCCAGCAACCCCGGCATATGCCCCAACTGGGAATAGAACCAGCGACGTCTTGGTTCATGGGTTCACACTCAACCACTGAGCCACACCTGCCAGGCTAGGCATCGTGCTTTCTATGGGGCTGCCCTGGAGGACGCTGAGCAAATTCACACTCGAGTGCTTAAATGGGCTGGGTACCCCTGCGATGGAGGACTGTCCTGGAGGTGGCTTGTTTGCTTGGCAAATTTGAGCCACCATTGCTGCAGCCTGTTCGGAGAGGGGCCTGGTGTAGGTGTAGCCAATGGTCGGAAGAGGCCGCTGAGTGGAAAAAAGCCAGGAAGTCCAAGAGCTAGCTGGAGGCAGCTTTATAATCTGGTGTGTTCTCACTACCAGGAGCCCTGTTAGAACCTGGCGGCTACTAGATAATGCCCAGGTATCTAACGTTGTTTCCTGGTCTTGGGAACCACTATGGCTACAAAGATCCAGAGTTTCTGAGGCTTCTGGATTTCAACGACAACTTTCGCATCATGAGTTCCAGATGGGCGAGAGCCCAACCTATGCCAAATGCTGAGTACATAAAACTACCGAGGGTGGATCATTAGAATAGGACTCAATCTTGGAATAGAAGTTATAGAATTTATGACATCAAGGTCCAGTCTCCCTG